TTCTATTTTTGGTAGAGGTGGGGTCTCCTTCTTGCTCAGGCTGTTCTCAAACTCCTAAACTCAAACAATCCGCCTGCCTCTGCCTCCCAGAGTGCTAGGATTACAGGCGTGCACCACCGCGCCCGGCCAAGTTTTGTAATTTTAAAACTGAAATTTTCTGACTTTCAACCTTTCCCTAAACTGAATTCTCATTTTGTTATCATGTAAAAGCAAGAAAATTTACACATGTAACTTTCAAAAAATTAGTTATAAAATGCAATATGCTAAAAAACCATAATCTAAAATATCCTTTAAAGTATAAAAGTATATTTCCTTCTAAAGTTTTAGCTCAAAAATAGCCAGAAATATCCAGAACTGTCACCCGTCAATCTTCAAGGCTCTTTTGTATGCCTTGAAATAAGAATAACATTATTTCAAATACTGCCATATAATGTTCCCCTAGGGATATGAGGTACAGTAACAGAATGCATAACTAAGCGTCTCACACAAACAAATTTCCTCTGCATTGTGTTATACAAACAATGTTTGGGTGGTGTACTCTAAAAGGAAAAAGCATTCAAGTCTACAACAACACAGAAGGAAACAGCAAAACTATAATGATTACCAAAAAAAAAAGGAAATAAACAAAAATGAGAAGGTATATGTTCTTAGCTATCTTTACTAGAAACCTAATTTTTGCTCTAGTTGACTGAAAACGATTTCACTAATAAGTTCTATCTTTTTCCCAGAAATAGCATCTTTGGAGGACTTGTATAAGTCTTCACAGACAAAGGCAGTCAAACACTAGCAATGTAGGGGCACTTCATAGTAACCTAGCAATAATAAACAGTTTACATGGCTTCCTCCCAGACTTTTCCAGTCACGCTATACTTTGCAAATATACTGGTGAAATTTGCAAGCTTGGACTATTATGGCAACTAGTTGAGATGGAGACAAAGTTATAGGAGAGAAACAGGGTAGAAATGAACTAACTACAGTTAACAAAAATAGTAAGAAAATCTATTTGTCTCTACCTTACATAAGATACTGTGAGTCCCTGATCTAAGGGACTCTCTGCTGGCTCATTAATGAGGGCATAACCTAAGTAACTTCTGACCATAAGAAAAATGTCATACCTTTAAAAAGAATATCAAATGCACAGTGAACATAGTGATCTGCAATACTCATTTATTCTAATTTGAGAAACAAAAGCACGTTAGTGAAGATTCATTGCACTGCTACCGTCATCCTTAACATTCTCACTGGGGAGGGACAAAGATGACCCTTAAGTGGAATCTACAACTGCTGATAACTAAGGGTATCTGCTGTTATCTGTTCATAGCAAAGTTAAGACATCATGAAAGAATTATCTTAACATTAAAGTTTTGACTGCACAGATGAGACCAACTAAAGTTAAGATGATGAAACAAGATAAAGTTGGCACAGGCCTAGGTGAATTTGGGATGGAAATAATCACCATGGAAGTGAAGCTATCAAAAGGCAGAATTTTGACAAGGTTGGGAAAAGGAAGCAGTTTGATGCCTGATTATCGCTTTGTAAAATATTTAGAACAATGCTAATGCCTTTTCCGTTCAGTGCTCAATAGTTTTATTTTCCTTCCTCACAAAAGGTTGTTAGCTTGTCCAAGACACATGGGCACTAACTAAAAAATGATTCTAAGAACAATGGAAGGAAGAAAAAAGTGCAAGCATGATTTATTCTCTCTTATAACACGTTCTAAGCAAATGGTGGATGTGCAAATATCCACGCTCACCAGATTGAATTTGATTTTATTGTTGATTTTCAGGGGAGTAGGGAGTGACTATTTGCTATATATTATTCATATTTTTTCCCACTAGGTCTGGTATGGTACCAATTTCACAAGGAAGGCACAAAACCACAAGTTATATAAATCTCAGAAGGTTTGAGTGATAAACTAATTATCCATTTCAAGGAATTTTCAATGAGTTAGCTAATTAAGTGGGCACTCAAATGCTGTTGGCAGAACTGAACTGGCTGCAGTTAAATCTTTCAATGAAAATGGACACTGTTCTCTC